TAGCATTATTATTATCTGGTGGATCCATAATTGACAATTACATTGTATATGGCAGTTAAATTTAAGGACTCTTAAACCAGGAGTTATTGAATACTGTACATTGAATATGGAGGTTTTTGAATAGCCTTTTCTCCTACATTTTTTTCAGGATTGGTCCAAATTGATGTAGTGTAGATGGACAGTTGTATGGTGGACCATTGTTCTGTTATTGTCTATCAAATTGGTGTTGCTTCTGAGCAGTTATCTTGAATGTATTGAAATAGCATATTAGTAATAGGCCTAAGAATTTAAAGTGGATTACTTAAAAACCAGCCCCCATGTCTTGTATGTATGGAAAGTCCAACCATTTTGGGAATATGTCTGAAATCAAAATCTCGCATACACACAGACTCTTTAAGACAATTTCATCTTCGTTGTCACTTGTCAATAAATCCTTCCATAACACCCATTATAACCATTTCTTATCTATTATCCACTAATTTTATTTCCACCCTGCTCACTGTGATCAGTAAGTGTTTCTCATACTTTTCCATTAGTGGCATCCTAAAAAACAACTACCCATTTTGACGTTCATGAAAAGGATATCTCTATACTTCCTCCTCTCTTCCATGACCATTTTCATTTTATTGTTAGACAGAGTAAATTTGCTTAAATAACATTCAGTGTTAGTCCATGAGTAAATCAGGTGGACCAATGTTGAAAACGGGCTAAAATTAAATTGCCGGCACAACAACTAGGTGCAAAAACCTCTTTTTAATGAAGGTATGACCTTTTTTCCACAACTAGTATTTGCAAATCTTTGAATAGAAGATGCGCGGGGACACCGATACACGACACGACGCCGAGTCGCCGACACAACTTATTTTATAAAGTTGGACACACACACGCTAAAGACTCATTTTCAGCAATGATTGTACTTGTAGAGTTCCAACAATTTACAATAGAATTTCAAAACGTTAATTTACTAGTTTTTATATAACTTCAAAATTTAGCAAATTACGAAATATCCAATGTTCAGTAAATACAAAAGTTCCAGACCAATAATAACAGAAGTAAGGAGTAGATCTTTGGTTTTATAGATATAAAAAAATGGGAAAGCGAGAACCCCTCTTTTTATCTTTTTTTGGTGTAACTACTTGAGCCGGATGAGAGGAAACCTTCACGTCCGATTTTGAAGGGGGGAAATCCTATAGGAACCTATCCCAATTTCGTTTTTGCTAGGCCCATAGTTAAAAAACCTACTCAAAAGCTTGGGGAGAAGGAGACTATGAGCAGCAACGAGGTGAGTTTTAGTGGCTTAGAGCAGCATAAATATATCCTGGCCAGCAGCTCGAGGGTG